TTTGACACACTCCCATTGATTAATGTCCCCTGTTATGCATTTTTCAAAAGAACAGTTTTTCAGGAGCATTTGTCAGATGTCCCCATGCCATTAAACACTTCGGGGCAACACCAGGGTGCAGAGGCTGGTGGTGAATGCAAACTTGGAAAAGTTTGGATTGCAGATTGGAGTCCCTGTCCAGTTTATTTTTTTCTATTTATATCCTGCCTTTTTCCTACAAAGGGCTCAAGGCAGCTTACATCTCCTCCTCCATCATATCCCCACAACAACAACCCTGTGAGGTAGGTTGGGCTGAGAGGCTGTGACTGGCCCACAGTCACCCAGTTGGCTCCATGGCTGAGCGGGGACTAGAACCCAGATCGTTTGAGTCCCAATCCCATGCTCTTAACCACTACACCACGCTGGCTCTCAGTTCAGGAGGTATGGATGGAATGAATCCTGATCCAAAATGAACAGAAGTGAATTTCTCATCAACTCCTGCTCCTATCAACAGTATTAAGTATTAAGGCCCCTCCAAGGCAGATTCAACCCAGGCCAGGTCAAAACACTCATTAAAGTCCTTGTATGTAATGAAGCAAATTCTGAATGATCTCTTTTCTTCCGCCAGAAGTTAATGTATTTGCAGAGATATCCAGACTTCTGAATTTAATATCATGCAGTTATTATTTTAGCTTCATTCTGCAGACAAAGTAGGGCTAGAAAAGCAAATGAGGGCTGACAGATAGCAAAGCAGCTCAGGGCTGTGGCGTTTTCTGCTTGTCCAGAGCAGGTTTCAGTTTTGTTTACTTCCTGGAGGGAGCATTTTGGGTTCCTAATTAATCCAGAAATTGTGTGTTGGTGCTGCTTTGGAGATATCTCTGCCTAATTAACTCGGAAGGAAAGGGCAGCAGAACTTAATCCATGCTCACATGTGGACCTTTGGGGAGTCTTGCTTCAGAAACAAGTTAACGGGGTCCTTTCACGAGCTTCCAGCTTGGTCCCTCTAGTAACCCACAACCGAAGAGTTCTGGTATGTGTCCCTAAAATACTACTTGGCCATGTGTTCATCCTTATTTTACCTGGAATCCTGTTGCCTTCATCCACAGTGACACCTGGCTGGACACTTTGAGAAAGAATCGTTTGCCATCATTACTTGGCATCCTAAGATACATTGTGCCTCGATTTAAGGTTTTAATGCTGTAGTAAGTAATGGCTCCTGGTAGATCTGTTCTCTAAGTTTAATTTTTCAAAATACATGCAAGGTAGTGCCTATTATCACAGTTCATGGGAGGAAATTCCATAAACAAAGCATGCATTATGCTAATTAGTACACTCCTAAGCCAAAATGCCAATCTGTTTCATTTGTGTTCTCACTACCACCTCATGTCCTAGTATTCTGTGACAGAGAAGTCCAAGAGCATTGATAAGGTATCTTCTCTGGGTCTTGAATTTCAAGGGGTTAAGTGTGCAGACTAAAATATGCTATTATTCATAGATTCTTCCACTTAATTATTTCTTTTAATAGCTTTTTGTAAATTGCTCCTGTCGGGAGAAAATAATTTATATCAGATAAATACAGGGCTACAACTTTTTCTCTTTGTTACTAGTACCGTTACAGCATTTATAATGAGCTGTCACATTACAGAAAAGTAATAGATCAATAAATGTGTGGAGCAAAATAGTAATTAAAATGATGCAATATGCAGATGAAAAGGTAGTTTCTGATTTCATAATTCTGCTATTACAGAGGATGTTATGCTATGCTTTATGGTTAAAGTATATTGAAAAATGGTTTTAACTGCCTTCGGGTTGGTTGAAGGTTGGTTTTAGGTTGTGTGGGGGGAAGGGGAGGGGAGGGGGGGAAGGGGAGGGGAGGGGAGGGGAGGAATAGCCATGAATTAAATTGCTCAAAACCAAAACTATTTTGGCTGACCTGATTTCTGATGTACTGCCCTACCCTTGTGATTCCTCCTGCATCTGTTTGAGGGGCGGAAATGCTTGCTGTGACAGTCTTCTACCTGTTTTACAAGGAATATTGGGTGTCTGAGGTCAGACACAGGATTCTCATGTGATTTTAATGGGTTTGCAGAAGAAGTTCTGTGCGGATTAGACCTCCGTTTATCCTCAGCAATGCCCAGGTTCTTAGGAACATTTAAACTTAGATGACCCTTTAGAGCACCCACCCTGAAGCAGCACCATGCAGAGAGAATTGAATGCACTTGTGTGCATAAGATTTTCTGCTCCGTGTGAGCATCTCTTTCTTGGCATTAGAAGCTGAATAGAATAGAGTCCTCCAGCCCTCCCTGATTAGCTCAAAGCTCCATGCAAGGAGGTGACATCTGTTTCTGAACTCCCTTCTTCTGAAATAGTATTGGGATGATGGGACAATGACGGTGTTGTGAAGGTCACCCCAAAAATTTAAATGTGAACACTGGGAAGCCAGTGCCAATGGACCATCCATCTACCTAGGTCCTAAAAGGTTGGTAAACCATCTGCCTTATGATCCCTCTGGGAGATTTGATCTCCCCTCTCTCTCCCACAATGGAGGCCAGATCTGCAATTCCAGAATGCCTGTTCAGCACAAAGAGTTTTCAAAATAAAATCTAAGGCAGTGTTTTGTTTTTCCATGAGCCGCTACAACAAATTTGGCCATCTCTCCTTACAAGAGTGCCTCCACACGTGTAGCTCTAGCCCTGCTTTTAAAGCCTTTGTCGGTTGCAGATGGAATGGCTCAGCCTTCATGGGCAGTTTCTCTCCCCAGAAGCAAGGCGAAAGTGCTCCATTGGAGCAAGCCATCATGTCCACCATGTCTGGTGTCCACCTTGGTTCCCTGCCTCTTCCATTTCCAAAGAAAGAAGGACAGACAAATCTTTTAACTGGCAGCTGGTATTTCTGTGAAATAGGTTTCTGTGGGCGCTGAAAGGGTGTGTTGAAAGGAACAGGTTAGTGTGTTGCAACCACCTTTGTAAGTAAGCTTTTGAGCAAGCTTCTTGTCCTTCACCACACCTCCCATGGCAGCCATTTTGGGATGGTGTCTCCGGGAGAGTTTCTCCAGTTTGTCTGATAGGTCTATGGCCTTCATCTGTGTGACATCATAACATAGTTTTCTTATCTGGCCATTTCAGGTGATAGTGGAAGATGGCTGTCCCCATTGACTAGCAGGATTCATGGAGCTTGTTACTTTAGGACAATAGAAGTCAGCTATGGAGAAACTGTAGCAGAGTTCTGTCGAGTGGCAAACCAAAAATGGGTCAAGCAAAGCTTTCCTTCTCTTTGCTTGTGGGGACTTGGAGGTCACCCAAAGACTTGTAAGTGGCACCAGGACAGTTCTCACCACACAGAACATCGCTAATTAGAACATTAGGACATTCACTTCCACAAGAGGTAATCTGATCCTGCCGCAAGCTGACAGAGGTCTAAAAAAAGGCTGAGACATTTTCTTGTAGAGTAGGGATTTGTTTGTAGGGTGAGGACTCAGTGGGTCTCTTCTGCAGTGGACCCCAAACACTAGAATGTCTTCCTTGTCTATCCAAGTGGATATCATTTTAATTTTCCTAAGCCTTTAAAAAGTAATTTTAGCTTTCTCTTGGTCTGATTTTAACATTCTTATGCTGCATTTTAAAATCATATTTATGCTTTTTAAAACGCTTAATTATTTGCTTAGAAGCAGTGTTGTGTAGTGGTCAAAGCAATGGACATGGACTTGGGAAATCTGGGATTCAGTCACCTGGGTGACTTTGGGCCAGTCACTGGCTTTTGCCCTAACCTGCCTCACAGGGTTGTTGTGAAGATGGCAGGAAGTGCAGGGGGATTATATAGGCAATGTTGAGCTCCTTGCAGGGAAAATGATGGAATATAAATACAATGAAGAAAGGAATGAAAGTGTCTCTTCAAAATGCTGCATTTCTGTTGCCTGTTTGAAGACAGTACCTTTTAATGGCTTTTATTATTAGTTCCATCAATTGTTTGATTGGCTTAACTTGTATAATGTATGATGCACAGGAATCTTCAGGTACAGAGAGATGCATAAACTGAGTGAGTGAATGAATAATCCCAGCACTGGGTCTCCTGCATCCTTTAACCTGATGTATAGCTTATCCAGGAGCATGGCTTGCTTTGATTTCAGAGATCCTATCGAGGGTGGCCCTCAGTGCTCATAAGCAGAGATTTACGAGCATCAGTGCCGAACAGGAGGAGAAGCACAGGCAGTCTCTTCCTCTGTGCACCTCTCACTCTGCATGCAAAAACGGGCACATCTCCCCATCGCTTCCCCCATCCTCATTCCTGCCACCACCTGCTCTCCATGTGATGTGCTTCAGAAGGGGAGGGGGCATTTTTAAGGGTATTTCTGCACTGAATGAATCTGTAGGGAGGGTTATTCCATAAGCTTTTCCAGTCCCTGTCACCTTAACTTTCTGATTTCTCTCCCCACAGATTTTTAGTGAGGAACACAAATCAATTCCAAACTGCAAATTTTCTTTATGCATTACTGAAGTTAATCCCTGGGACATTCTTGGATTCATGACTATTATTTTTTTCATACCTTAAGAGATTCCTTCAGCTGGAAGAGTGGGGACTTAAAAATGATTGCTGTTGACAGTACAAAAGCCAAAGTAAAGTTACCTTTCCTTTAGAAGGCCCTTTTTAAAATTGGATCAGCCTCTAAAAAATTGGGTAAAGATGGTAGAATCCTTTGAGTTTCCATTCAGCAAAATTATACATTCTTGCCTTATTACGAATGTTCTTGCATTCTTATTAAGTCAGCCTCAAGGAGGACTTGTATAATAACTCTCCATACCCAAATATGATCAAGACCCTGATAATAAGGATCATGTTTTCTTGTAGCAACGAGTAATAGTTTCCTATGTTGTTTTCGTTTCGTTTTCGCTCATTACCTAACAATGAGCGTTGGAGTCATTTGGAATGCAAATGGCTGTAATTTCCCCTGGAACGCCATGGAACTCTTATCAAGTCTCATATCTGCTCCTCTTGTTGTGGTCTCTTTTTCTCCTCTGATGCAGGGCAGTTTTTATGTACCATCTGAAAATTGCATGCAGCATGCACACAAGTGGCATAAGGACCTTTGCTTCCTCCTGTTGAATGCATATAAAGGACTTCATGTCTACTATGCCCTCGTCAGTAAGGAGATTCCCAGCTTGCCTCAGCTGAAGTTAGGTAAGAAGATGGTCCTGCGTGGCCTCTGTTTCACAGGCTGCTCATCACCGTATCTCAGTAATATCACTTGAACGTTGCTAGGCTGGGGTTCGGATGAACTTGCACCCAGCATGGAAATAACTCTGCTGGCTCCTCTCCAACATTGGGAAAGCAACCATTTGGGAAGGGGGAAATGGGATACTTTGCTGGGAGGAGAGGGGACTTGAGAGGGCAGGGAACAAAGAATCCTAATGCTTTTCCAAGCTCCCCCTACAAGATGCTCCATTTAGATAAGCAAAACAGGGAAAGGGAGGATAGGAGGTTGGGTGGAAGCATTCACTTCCTCAGCTGCCCCCACCCTTCATTGGATGACCTCAAACCTTTGAGATTGGGGCTTAGGGTTATCACCCTAGGATTGCATCCCAAGAGGATTGTATATCTGAGTGGGCTACCTCTTTGTTCTTGTTGACACCCCTGAGATTCATAGAGACAGAATTGCCAACAGGTTTAGATAGAACATTACTGTTCTAGCAAATGTTCCTTTCAGAGAAGATCTTCAGTTTCACCTGCAGTTCTGTGGGGAACTGGACATTTTTCCAAGCTAACATTTTGCCATCTTTAGTGTCAGCAGTTGTGAGTTTTATGGTGCTGTCACACAGAACTCAAATGTTAGTTTTCTCCTGGACTGGCTTGCTGAAATGAGTCCACAGCTCCAGATTGTCCATGTTATTGCTGCCATATTTTAGTGGGCATTGTTTCAGTCACGGTAACTTCCTTGGTTTGGGGAAAGAAAAGCAGAATATCAATCCTAAATAAAATGAGTACAAAGAATATATTTTGGTGAGGAGGTGACATTATCATGATTTAAGCAGCAATGAATCTTTCACTGCTCTTTCTTGCAGTATTTTTAGTTGTATTTGTCCTAATCTGCTGTGTCGTCAGAGCTTTCCTGTGCTTGTTGACTGCTTTGCTTTTCAAAAAACAAATCTCTTGCTTCCTTTTCTAGAAGAGCTTGCTGTGGAAGAGACGCTTTCACAACTCTCTGCAGAGCTGCAGGTATTTGTGTGTGTGTGTGTGTGCATGCATTCGTTTGCATTTCTGGGAGGGGTATGTTGCAACAGAAAGCAAAATGCATCTAGGCTTTGATTTTTGCTGCAATGACTTTTTGCATGGCTGGGACATTTATTGTTAATATTTTGATGCATATAGACTGTGAGGCTGCAACATCTAGAGAAGTATGGGTAGAAAGCCAACTTGTAATCTGTATATTTGTTTAAGATGTATAGGTCAGGACATTCCATAGAGGGATTAGCAAAGACTGAATTCCCCAAGCTTCCCTACTGCCTGTGACGAAAGCTAAAAGAAGTGACTGGTACTTTTTAGTAAAAAAGAAAAAGAGAAAACTGAATGGTATAGAAAGACTTTATTTTATTGTTTTCTCCCTTTCTTTTAATTCTTGAATTCAGAATCAGCCAGTGGATTTGATTGGCAATAGAATGAAGACAGACAAAAGAAAGTACTTTGTTTCACACAATGCATAATTACTTTGCCCATACAATTTTCTCCCACAAGATGTGGCGCTGCCATTGGGCTTTGCAATAGGGATTCCAGCAAGGGTTCTTCTTTGTGTTCGCATGCATGTGATTCTCTATGAAGGAAAATGTTTTGACAGATTTGGCTCTCGGTCTGCTGAATGTGGCAGAGCAGTGTGAAGTGCATGTTCGCGATGGCTGGCTTGCAGTTTTCTTGTGTCAGATATCACAGTAGATTACGGGGCAAGAATGCCCGGGTGTTCCATGCAGACGTTAATACTGAAAGTCCTGATCAAGGCATGGCTTTGGGACTGAGATGAACTCTCGGACCTTGGTCAGATTCACTGACTATAAATCAAGCATGTGTGTGCACAGACACACACACATGCACACCTACACCCCAGTAATACTTGGAGCATTTTCTGTAAAAGGAAAGGATCTGAGGCGTCAGGTGGCCAGTTTTTGCAAGTTCCACCTCAAAGCTTGGCTTCTCTTGCTCCTGAAGATGAGATTTTGCTGTAGCTGATATTTTGCTGAGAAAATGAGAAGCGCACTTTCTTCTACATATTTTTGAAGCTGCTCCTCTCTCTTGAGTCATGCAGTTTTCTGGTGTACTTTATTTTAAATTTTTCCAAATGCAGTTACAAGCTCGGGATTTGTGAGCTTTGTCTGAAAACGTTCTAGTATTCTCATTCTAGAATGTGCACAGATGCAGCACGTTCTGATGTTTCATGAACCACAGCAACACACTTGCACATCTTGCCATGGAGGGTAGAGTTTATTCCTTATGCCAAAGACAAAGGGGTGTCTCTGTCTCCCGGCCATACGAGGGCTCCTGCCTCTGGGCCAGGAATGCATAATGGGAATGGGAAAGCAGCACAGACTGTGGCACCAGGCTGGAAGTGGGGGCTGAGAATGAACCCCAACTTGTCTAGAAAGCTGCCAGGGGTGAGCTTGGTCCTAGCAGAATTCACTGGCTTGGTGTAAAGGAGGAGCTGGAGGGGATTTCTCAGAAGAAGGGTAGGAGAAGTGTGGATTGCGGTGTATAAGAATTTCATTTCTGTTTGAAAATGATTCAGACGTGCCTCACTCACAGCCCCGGATGCAAATAAGAGCAATTTTGAGGAAGGGGGAAGCTTGGACACTCTTTTTTTTTTTTTTTCCTGATTTATATGCTGCCTTTTTCCTACGAAGGGCTCAAGGCAGCTTACATCTCCTCCTCCATCTTATCCCCACAACAACAACCCTGTGAGGTAGGTTGGGCTGAGAGTCTGTGACTGGCCCAAAGTCACCCAGTTGGCTCCATGGCTGAGCGGGGACTAGAACCCAGATCCTCTGAGTCCCAGTCCCAGGCTCTTCACCACTACACCACACTGGCTCTCTTGTGACCAAATGCAAAAAGGCATATTTTCAAACATGTGCACAAAAACAACACTTTGTGCTCAACGAATGCACTGATCCCAGTTGAACAAAAGAAAGGCTGGTCACAAATGAGGGCAGGGAGAAAACAAACCAAGATGCGAAGCAGGGTTCAAAGAATCCTTGGTGAAGTTGAGCATCCCATCTCATCCATGTGCTAAAATGAAAGAAACATAAAAAAGGGAATAGTTGCTTGGAAAATGACTCATTCTGCTCCGCATTGGTCTCTGTGCAGTGACTCCTTGTTTCTCTAGCTGTGATGCCTATGAATCACACTAGAGGAAACAAATTGAATTGCACGGTTGCATTCCCATCTCTTGGAGGCATTTCACACCCAACGTAGAAACATAGAAACAGAGCGAGTCAGAAAGGGTCCCCCGGGCCATCTAGTCTGACCCCCGGCACCAGCCGGCTCCGCTCACGACATGCACACCATGTGGACGTCCAGCCTTTCCTTGAACACCCGCACCGATGGGGCCTCAATGACCTCCCCTGGAAGCCCATTCCACACCCTCGGGGTCCTAACTGTCAGGAAATGCTTCCTGGCATCCAAATGGAACCTTGGCTCCCTGAGCTTTGCTCCCTTGGAGCGCGTCCTGCCTTCCTCTGCAGGGGAGAAAAGGTCTCTGCCCATCTCCATGTGACATCCCCTCACATGCCTGTATGTCACCAACAGATCCCCTTTGAGTCTCCTCTTCTCCAGGCTGAAGAGACTCAGTTCTCTCAGTCTTGCCTCATATGGCATCCCCTGCAAACTGGCCACCAACCTTGTGGCCCTACGCTGCACTGACTCTAACCTGGCTATATCCTTTCTGTAATAAGGGGCCCAAAACTGAGCACAATACTCCAGTTGCGGGTGCACCAGAGTCGTATAGAGTGGTAGTAATACCGCTCTTGATCTAGAAGCCATGCTTCTGGCTATGCAACCAAGGGTGGCGTTTGCCCTTTTGACCACGACATCACACTGCTGACTCATGTTTACATCCCCTCTTCCAATTTGCAGGTACCACACAGGCAATATTTTGGCTCAACACTGGACTGCCTTGCACATAGTCAAGCTGGAATGAGTTCAGAATAATCTCCAAAGTCACCCAGCATTGATGAAAAGAAGGGCAAGTCAATGTACTATCAGGTGGCCTTCAAGATGTTGCACTGAATTCCCATCATCCCTCACCATTGAGTAGGGCTAATCAGACAACATCCAGAAAACCACAAGAGTTCTTGTTGACCAGACGATCGAGCCAAACATTATTTCCGGAATGGTCCAATACAATACACTTCTTTATTTGGTCATTGACCAGCAAATCAGAATGGTCCAAGCAGAAGCTGCTGGGAAGATTATGGGTGAGAAGGACTTTGTCCATAGCATAATATGGATTCTCCATGTAGCTTTTAGGGTGACGTTTGAGAGCCCCGTTACCATCTGAAATTCATCTGACCTTGGGAATTGCCACTTATGCAACTTGGGGTGTGAGATTATAGCCTTGACCACACGGGAAGTTTTGGTGACTTTTGCATTATGCACCCCATCATAATTGCAATGAAGCATGGGATAAAAAGCAAAGAAAGGGTTCTCCCGCCAATGTCTCAACTTGAGGGCATGCATGTTTGTGTCTGGTTCTGCACCAGTGTCTAAATCTGAACTTATACAAGCAGGCAAGAATGCTGGGCTGGCCCACTGAGAGGGATGTGACCAGCATGCAAGAGAAATGTTATGTTCCTGAAACAAAACTGTGCCTGTGGAGAGATGCTTCTGAATTATAGATCAAGCAGTGCCACCTAGAGGATAATTCTCCAGTTTTGCTTTCTCCAATATTTTCCCCTCCTCAAGTTCTTGCTATCTCATGTGTTGGGAATTTTGGTCCAGCTTTGGCTATGGGAGGTATAGAATTATTATACCTCGCATAACAAGGTATAACAACGAATGCAAACTTTCCAGATCACTTCTTGATGCAAGAGAGTACAAAAAACATGGAAAGGGAAAGAAAAAACTGACTTAATGTTGAAGTCATGGTGTTGGCATGATGACAAAAAATGGAAGAAAAAGGGCCGGCAGCTATTTGAAGAAAGGTCTAGTAGCTGATGGGATTGCCTCAGATTTCACCTGTTGTTGCTGGAGCTTCATCTGGTCCCATCTGGAAACCTTTCTGAGTAAACACCTGAATTTCATATTTTATAGAATGAAAGATCTATGGAATGCGCTCCCCAGAGAGGTCTGCCTGGCACCATCGTTATTTGTTTTTCGGCGCCAGGCGAAGACCTTTTTATTCAAACGTCATTTTAACTGTTAATACTATTTATTTATTTTATTCTTCGGCCAGGGCGGCTTATTTTATATCGTTAACTTGTTTTATATTTTTATTGGATAATGTTTTAATTGATATGTTTGTGAGCCTTCGGCGAGGCTTCGGCGAATGGGGCAGCACAGAAATTTTCTAAATAAATAAATAAATAGATAGATAGATCAAATTGTGATCTTTGCCACAGCGTTAACATCAATTTCAAAAGTCTTATTTGGATGTCCTATAGCTTTCCATGTGAATTAATATTTTGTTAATGTGAATTCCTCCAAGTACATGCAGATGCTCATTTTCCTTACCGAAGTGTTGCATTTCATCATCTACCATCCCATGTTGGTAATACATGTATCTCCTGCTTCCAGATGCTGAACAATCCAGAAAAGATAGCTGAACAGATCAGCAAAGATCTTGCTTGGCTCTGCTCCCATCTTTTGTCTCTCTGGACCCAGTTTCTGGAGATCGTAACCCTGCACCCAGATGTCACAGCCTATCTTGTCCATGAGCATCACACTCTGCGGGTGAGATTATGGACTGGTGCCCAGAAAACAAGTAGAGGAAGAACCTGATGAGATGAAATATTGCAGAGTGTACTATCAATTTTAGGGAAATTATAGGATTGCTTTTGCACACTTCAGGCTTCATTTACATTTCCTTCCAGAAATCACATTGATTTATGTATTTTTGGAGGGTATAATTCACAATGACTTTGCCATTGTTTCAGTGAAATGTGAGTTCCAATCTTATTTGTTTTGATGGAAACCAGAGAACTTACAAGCAGTGCTGAGCTGAATGGATGCCAATTTTCATGCAAAACATTGTCTGTGTTTTGGGGCATCCTATTTACTGTTAGGAGCACTCATATGACTAATTCAGGAAGCACACGACCAGTTCAGAATCTGGGTTAATTTGGTTTCCGTGAAGTCAGCACATGAACAAATCGGAATGGCCTAATAGCATTCTAGCAGAATGTTATTCCCTATTGTGATGTCTCTGATTTGGGGAATATTCTAGAAAAGAGAAAGAGAATTGTCCTTCTTTATGACAGACCTGTAAGTTGAAACTACTACTCAGTATCAACCACAGACTACATAATAGAGACACAAATATGCCCAATAAGGATACAAGGATAATGATACAAACAGACCCTCTAGAAAACCCAGTTGTCGACTGTACCCCTTATCTACTAAGGCAACTGGCATAGGACCTAGGAATACCGCAAACACCAAGGTTTCAAGCATCGGTTCATCTTCCACTGGCCCAAAATCTCCCAGTGAGCCCCATGTGGACTGGGGATGAGAACCCATATCTCCTGAGCTCCAGCCTCACACTCTTAACTGCTGCATCACCACCACCACCACCACCAAATTAGCACATTTGCACAAGTGCACATTAGTGCTAAGGCTGTTCAGTCACAAAGTCATGCCCCACCCCAAATGACCCCATGGACAACAGTCCTCCAGGCTCACCTGTCCTCCACCATCCCCCGGAGTCCGCCCAAGCCCACACCCACCACCCCGGTGACCCCATCTAGCCACCTCATCCCCTGCTGTCCCCTTCCCCTTTTCCATCAATTGTTCCCAGCGCCAGGTCAGTGCTAAAGCACTTTGGCAAATTAGTGCAACTACGATGAAAGTCTGATTTAAAAAAAAATCCTATTCCATCAGTGAGCAGAGGATGGGACCAAAGATGTCTGACAATTCTTGAAAGCAAATTTAACTAATTTATCATAGCAAATTTAAAATAATGGGTACTTCCCTAACCATGGCCGACTTCGGCTCATTCCTGATACATTTGCAGACTTGCCAGTACAGAACACAATGGATGAATTTGTTTGCCTGATCCAAGCAAGAGATCAGTCCCTTGGGTTTCAGAGCTGTGTAACAATTTTAAACTTGCCAGTAACTCCAATCCTAAAAGAATCCATTGTGTTAGACTTTTGGACTTGTAGCCTCTTTTGAAGGTGATAGGTGTTGTAATCTGTGTTTATTCACCAGGTTAGAAGATTCTCTGAGGCTTTCTTTTATGCTGAACATCAAAAGCTTGCTGTGTTGACTTTCCAGGAAAGCCTGTACGTACTTTTTAATAAGTTACTTTAAAACTTTCACACTGCTAAATTGTTTTGAGAGCAAATTATTTCCTTTTAAAATGAAAAAAGCACATGAGATGAGTCAGACAAATAGTTGGTGTTATGAACTTCTCTTGCAGTGGTCCTCTGTAGTTCAGCCGAACAGTGTGGATCATTTCTGTTTGCTATGAGTCAATTCAATTCATTTCCACCCTGCTCAGATTTGGCATTAGGCATTTTTTCCTTCTGAACTGAAACTACAAAATTTCCGTAACCTTGCATCAATATTAGAATTGCAAATGTACCTATATGTCTGCAAAAGCCTACACCAAAATATTCCTTTAGAATATCCCTATTCAGCTAGGAGAGGAAAAGTTCTTGCCCTCTCACTTTATCAGCCCCCTTGAATATTTTTTAGTGTTTCTGTAGCTCATCCCTGCTCTTCCAAAAGACTGAAGGAAGGCATCTCCTAAGACATCGTTCCTGAGAATAAGAGCTAAAGTTAAGCTATGTTGGTATGTTTGTCATCATGGTGGTACTGCTGCTTTTGTCCTAGACAGAATGTGACCCCCAGCAAGTTCTCCAAAATTGAGTGTGGCCCTACAGCTGAAAAGATTGGACACCCCAGGGTTAGAGAGCTTCCCTGTTTCCTCCAATGGTCCTCAGGGAATGCGTTTTGTTTTGTCCATCTGTATTGCATGGATCCCTGGGAAAGGAATCTTGCATCTGGCTAACTGGGCCATGTTTTGATTGGACACAGCAAACAGATCAGTGTGTGTGGGGGGGGGGTGGGATAGAAGTTCTCCTGGTGAGCTGCCTGAGATACCTTAATGGGGAAGGCTGCTTCTTCAAACACCCTCTGCGATCTAGCAGAACTTTCCTTACATTCTTAACTGGCTCCTTTGAAGAAAAGTGAATATTTGATGGGGGAGAATATTGTCTCTTACTCCACCTCCATTTTTCTTGCTCTCCAAAAATGTCTTCTTTTCTCGTAGAACTGTTCCTTACAGTCAAGGAGTGTTTGAATAAATGTTGGGTTCCAAGAGAGATTGCACAGATGTTTGCTGTACTGTAACACTGCAGATTTTTCCATATATTCCATACTTAGAGGATGCTGCATGTTTGGTGTAAAAGGAGACCATGGCTATTTAGAAGTAAGAAAAGTGCAATCTGATGGAACTGGAAACAGAGAAACAACATATCAGTGAGAAGCAACTTTGGGATCTCCCTGTTTTTCCAACAGTATCCAGCGTCATAACCAGGTTTCATCGGAGGTCCGGAACTCTGAGTACCTTACCAGTCTGCCACCCCTCCCCGTAGAGTGCCTAGACATAGACGGAGACTGGGGCACGCTGCCCATTATTTTTGAAGACCGATATGTAGATTTCCCCTACAAAGGTGGGTAGTATGCAGAGCTTTGACCTTGCCCTTTGAGAACTGCACATGGAAAACAGTGGAAGCCTTTGCCCATATTTGTGGTCTTGCATGCAACGTTTCTCTGGGGATAAGCTTCTGAAGTCAGGATTCAGAAGTGTTTGCCCTAAATTGACAGGCGAGATGCATCAACTATCCCAGATTGCTACTTTTGAGAGGGAGTTAAAGACATATTTCTTCCTACAGGCCATCCCAGATTAGTACCCAGATAAGTTTTATGCTTGCTTAGTCATAATTTTAATTATTGTTGGTTTTAATTTCTTGTAAACCACCCAGAGCCTGTGGGAATTGGGTGGAATAGAAAAATCAAGATAAATAAATACACTAACAAGGTAGAAGGATTTTGACCTTCTTTGTGCCAGCTCCAGGATGGAGGCAGCATTGTCTACATCTGGAACACCAGTGTCAAGGGTACTGGAGAGGGTTGGAGGCCTTGGCAGGGTGTGAGAGGACCAGAGACAAGGTCAAACTACAAACTGAAGCCAGATAACAGCAAGGAAAAGCAGGTTCCCATTCACAACCCAGGGCATGAACATGGGAAGGTGTGCAATTTGCAGGAAGTATTTGCAATGTTTCCAATTCAGAGAACCTCTGTCGCTGGGTTAAGCAAGCCATCGCATGACACTGTGATGTTCTACAGTGATTTGTCTCTGCATGAGTAGATACTGAAGCCTTTATTTTCAGTATCAACCTATGTGTGCAATCAAGCCAATTGTGCCTGTGACAAAAATCATGGCCCAGATGGGCTTTGCTCTTGTTTTTAGCAGAAACCACGGCATATAACTGCAGAGAATAAGACCACTGAATGTACAGCCATGACTTGGATTCCCCTTGAAAAAACAGAATCCAAGCATTAAATAAAGAAAATACCTGTGAAAACAAGTGGTCAGATTTCATGTATCCTTCTGTATGGGTCCCTTCTTTCCCCCAATATTCATCCCTTAACAAATGGGTTACAGCCATTTGCAATGGAGTGAGGAAATTGCCAAAAGAGGGTGCATCTTTGGGAGACAGAAATCTCCCTGCAATGCAACCACTCAGTTTGCCTTAGCAACGCTGGAGATAAAGCAACACTTGTAAAGCCAGGGTCAGCACCTTGTGCAGCTGTTTTGGCATACATTTCCCATGACTACTCAGCATTGGCTGTGCTGACTATGGTTGATGGGAGCTGTAGGTTAAAACATCTGGAGGAACACATTTGCCCAATCCTGAGGAAATAACCATGCACAACCATGCAATTGCGGACATTTCAGATTAGATGTTATTCCCTCTGCATGAATGTATCTTGATGTTGCTTCATGCTGGAAGATTTATTTCCAGAATCCAAATCAGACCTAAATTGTGATGATGCTGCCACCCAAAGTGAAATGAGAAAGGAATATTCATTATCCTGAATAATAATGCCTGAAAATATTCTAAATTTATCTGGGAGGTTCTGCACAGTACTACATGGGTACTGAGTTACTCCTACACCAACATTCAAGTTTGGGAGTTACTCCTCAGGCCACACATCCACGGAATGCTGTGGGTAGCAGAATTTCATGGGATGGCTATTTCCACACACCTGCACAGGTATTTAGGATCAGGCTGTTAAACTTAGAGGAATTATTATTTTTCTGATGTTGGTATAATAACTATCACCCTGAGCAGTTTTATTCTTACTTTTTATTTCTCTTTCAGTTCAGGACTTAGACATTTTGTCGGACTATGTGGTTTCTGCTGTGGACAATTCACAAGTGGACTTAGAGCAAGATGGGGATTCTTCCTCAAACAACGATACTGATTTAGCAAAGAGAGATTTCAGGAACATCGCCCCATTCATCATCCATACAGACAGGATCAATGGGAAATACATGTATCAAGTCAGCTGTCCCAAAGAAGAAGACAGTCTGCTTGAGACTTGCAAGGATTACTCCACAACTCAGGTACATGCAAGGAATGGAGGTGTCCAGTCGTGTGCTGATCAGGCAGAGTTGGCTAATAATGCTATGTCTGGTTTGCAATCAGATCTTGTGAAAGATACTTCAGAAAGCCTTAAAACACAGATGAAGCTTTCAGAAAGCAATGATCCATACAAAGCAGAGATGGCATCTTTGGACATGAAGTCAATGTGCAATAATGCTGGCCAAAGAGAAGCAATGCTGGTCATGACCACTCTGTGTGAAAGTGACACCTATGGATGTCCCAAACTTTTGGATGGGAGTGAAGCACCTAAAAAGGATCAATATCGGTCTCCTCTCCCTTCAGAGACACTCACCATGAATGACCAAAGGGGCCATGAGAAAGCAGTGGATCCATACAGTGACTGTGTATTGCCCGCACAAAGGACATTTGAGGGAAATGACCATTTTGGCTCCTTGAACCAAATCCAAGATGTTGAGGATGCCAAGTCTTTTCAGAAGGACCAACAGGTTCTGGAGTGTGAGGAGTTTAGCTTGACATCAGGGGGCATTAAGAGATCTTCATCTCTAATTTCAGACTCAGGAATTGAAAGTGAGCCTAGCTCAGTCGCTTGGTCCGATGCACGGAGCAAGGCCTTGGAGTTGCCCACTGATCGAGAGATGCTTCACCAGCTTGTCAGAAGACATGCAATCCACCGGAACTCTCTAGAGGGTGGACACACTGAAAGCAATACCAGTTTGCCCAGTGGCATACAAGCCTCTCTTACATCAATAAGCTCCCTGCCATATGAGGAGGAAGAGCGGGAAGTGGAACCCAACAAGCTGACAAAATCTATCTCAGCACCGCAGATCAGTAGCCCTGAGGAGCCTGACACAGATATATCTAAGCAGGTCAAAGCTGTCTCTAAAGTAGCCGAGGATCAGTATGTGGAAATAGGGATCATCAGGGTGGTACCAAGTGAAAACATTTCCACTTGCCAGACTGGAAGAGAAACTGGAAGGCTGCAGCTGTCAGCTGTTACTGAAGTGCATCCTAATTCTGATTTTGAACATACAGGGGACTTACCAGAACCTGTCAAAGGCTTTCCAGAGATTGACTTTCACTTGGAAGCAGCAGGAGAACATATACGTCTAAATCAAACTCGGGATCTAGATGAATCCCGTTTGCCAAAGGGAAAACAGGAGACCCGCTTGGAAAGGGTGGATGACGACATGGACACAGAAGCTGCTCATCTTGATGAGTGCAGTAAGGAGGCAAATTTACAGAAAGGCCATAGTTCGTATTCCACAAATGTTGAGGGTTTCTCAGATGGTAAGAACCATGCAGCAGAGTTTTCTTACGTCATCCCTGCCTCATCAGAGCTGGCATCTGAAGCTCTCTCCACAGTGGGGCACTGTGGAAGCCCTCTTCCCAATAGTCAACTGCCATGTGGTGGAGGAATTCCCAATTTACAAGAAATTGAACTGGACAACAGATCTGGGAGTGGAGCCTATGATGCTGAGCCAGAAAACCAAGAGTGCCAAATTGGGACCAGCACGCCAGGATTCTATCCTGTGGTGCCAGAGGCATTGGTGTTGGAGGGCAAAAAGGCAATTGAAGTGGTAAACTTATCTGTATCCTGTACAGCCACATGCCTCCCCTTTTCTTCACTTTTGAAAGAGAATCCACCTGTAGCTGGCTTCTCCTCCAAGCAGGTCACATCTCCTATCACACGCCAGCCAGTGGGCTCCTTCGGAGTCATCTCCTGTGAACCTAATGATGGGGCTGAAGAAGCCAATGAAAGAATGCTCAGGTAAGGATTTATTTCATTGCCTGTTGAACAAATTTAGATCTTGCTTTTCTGCCTGAGCAATAGGTCCCTAATCTGGCTAACAACGAGTGTGAAGGAATTCATAATAATTGCATCTAATTAGACGCTCTAAAAGGTCACAGTGATGTTGAGGCCGCCACGGGTGGTGCAGTTATTGAACATGGACCACTCTCCAAGCCTTAGAAGTTGCAGGTGGTGGGATGCCCATGTGTGCAGACATGTCAGCAGAGATAGGGAACGCCAATGGTTTTATCGGTAAGGGGACTGGGGATATCTCCACATGGGCAGATGAATAATCACTGGTTCCTCCCAGCTGTATCTTTTCCTCCAAGGACCCAAGGCAGCTCCTATGATCCTTCTGTTTTCCATTTCATCTTCTCAACTACTCTGTGAGCTCCAAGAGTCAGTGACCAGCCCAAAGTCACCTAGTGAACACCATGGCTGATGGAGGACCTGATCCTGCACCTCTTGAGTCCCAGTCCAGCTTTTTAAGCACTACAGTACACTGGTTCTCCAAAGACTCTGGGGAGATAATATTGGAAAATATCCCCTCCCAGGCCTTGCATGCTCTGGCTACATGTAAGGACATTCACGGCTGCTTCATTCCCCCCACTTGATAGGCTGTGCATTAATACCCAGTGGCTCATTCAGTATTTCTGATTCCAGCAATGGAAATTATATTGTGTACTGGATCTGTTTCCCAGGTTCAGGGTCTCCTCTGCTAAGTCATCGGGTTCAGTCTAAGCTTGAATGGCTCTGCTAGTTTTGCTTTCTGTAGCCTTCACTTTTTTTCAAGCACAAGTTTGATCTGCCCTGTTTGTGCATCAGTTCACAGCTCCCCAAAAGGTCTGAGTCGAAAATTGCATTATTTTTGCATTCCGCTTTCTTTAGTATATGCATTTTTGCAAGCATTTTCACCTAATACATTTTGTGTGCTATTTTCCCTAATGCATTTTTGTGAGCATGTTTGAGTTGGAGAATTGTATTGTTGCATTTGAGGAACCACAAAAATCTGAATTTTATTCCTATTTGGAGTTGTTAAAAAAACCCTGCTGTGTTGAACAGTTGGCAATGTGAATGTTCATCATTGCTTTCTGTTAGAAGATTTCTGGGAGGTCAAGGTTTGGTGAAGTTGGAGTGGTGTAGGGGTGTACCAGATTCTTGTAGAGTTGAAAATGTTCCTTAAAATAAATACTGGAAAAACCAATGGATGCTGGCATTCAATTCACACATCAGTTTGTGAAGTGCAAATTAGATTGATTCATTTTATAAGCCAAATTAATTTCTCCCCAAATGCTGGTTAAGCCTTCTCATCTGGGTGCTTCTATCTTTGCCTACTAAGTCATTGTTTGAACCCAGCCTCTGAAGGTGTAGGGACAACAATGCTGCTGAATCTTTTGAGAAGCCATATAGTTCAGGATCAGACCATCCATTCGACATGTATAAAGCTTCACTGGGGAACTGGAGATTCACAGAGGTCTTATCAGTTAAAAGAACCAAAGGAAGCTGTCTATGGAAGACACATGCATCATGGCTTCCATTTTGGATGTTCAACCCAGATTGCTCCATGTATCTGCATGTATGGATGGACTTTGAGTAATTTGTTCTGCTCCTGCAGTGGATATTCCTGCCTTCTCTTATTATTTTCTTACTCGTTCCTTATTCTTACTCTATTCCTTATTCTATGTAAATGAACTTCATTTCATACTCACTGAGGGGGTGTTCAGGGAGGAGCATCTCACCCTAATTCAGAGGTGCAAAGCCTCAAGGCTGGGGGATAAATCCAACCTGTCCCAATACAGCCTTCCTGGGTGACCAAGATGGTACCCTGCCACCACCACTCATTGCCTGACAACCAATTGTTAGCTGAGTCCCTGGATTTTGAACTTCCTTATTCTAGAAGACTGAGCCCTTCCCAAGGCTTAGACAAGAGCAGTATAAGCTGTAAGCTAAAATAAGCATTTTTGATCCACCACTTTTTCCTCTCTCCCCTTTTTGCTTGGGCTCCTAGTGCTAGAATCCATACTTTCCAGAAAAGCTCTTCCAAAAAGGAAATGAGAATGATTTAACACTCCTACCCTAATCTATATTACTATATTTCATTATCCCTGATACTCAGTCCCTGAATAGGGCTAAAGTCTGAAGGCTGTAGTAGGTTAGAGAGCAAGGATATGCTATTCATAACTGAGAATTTGAAAGGTTGGTGCTTGCATTGAGAACGGAGTAGCTACTGTGGCAGACAGAACCCCTACTGCATCCCATGAATCAAATAGTAGAACAAGTCACTTTTTCTTCCATGCCCAGTTCAACCTGTAATTAATTAGTGTATTCTCCAGTTTTTATCAGGCCAAAGAAACATTTAAAAAGGAACTGAAGATTGAAGGATTTCTGTACAGTGACTTATCCGTACTAGCTTCTGATATCCCATATTTTCCACCAGAGGAAGAGGAAGAAAATTTGGAAGATGGGATTCACCTCGTGGTCTGCGTCCACGGGTTGGATGGTAAGAACAGTCAGGTGTGAGTATGTGAAGAATCGTGCTTCCGAATATGGGATGCTCACCCAGCCTGCAGCCAGGTGTGATTAGCCTTCAGGGGATGGATGAGCTGCACTGTGTATGGAAACCAATATGCCTGAAGCCTTTTAGAGATCCTACGTTTATCTGGGATTTTCTGCCAGCTCAGAGGATTTTCCCTATTTAGAGTTACAGATAAGTGTGACATAGAAATAAGTTGTTATGTAAAATCAGGAGTATGGTTTAGCTGGGGGAGATTTTGGATGGGAAGGATTTCAGGAAGAAGCGCCAAAGGATAAAGAGATTGCAAAACACGCAAGAAGTCTCACCTCATCCATTGGCACTCACCCAAGTCCTCTGTTCCCAAGAATCAACGCCACACCTAAAAGCCTGGCATACAGATATTCAAAGCACCCTTCTTTTGGAGCTCATAGTGTTTGTTTGTTTGTAGCCCATGGGCCTCCATTGAGACAACTGAGGAGTTTTAAATTGCTGCTAGAAACCCTCCAGATGTGCTGCCCAACAACTCCAAACATTCCCAGTCAGCTGGACCAAAGGAGTTGTCATCCAAGACACTGGGTAGGCACCAGGCTGAGGAAGGTGCTATAAAACCGTTAGAAAGCCTCAGGGAATATTTTCCACATTGTCTGTTGTTGTATTTTCAAGATGTACAAAATAGTATACTTGAGCCAAAAGAAGTCACAGTCATGAACTTAGAAAACCTGAGCAGGGCTTTCATTTCGGAGGTCTTTCATTCACCATACCAACAATTACTTGGTAGTGAATATCCGGACATGAAATGCAATGTCTGGAGAGGCAGAGTTTCCCCTGAACCTCTCTGAAGGCACACCTCTTTTGTAACAGCTTGTGCAGACATTCCTCATCCACCACTCATGGTTGCTTAGTAGGACCGAGCCCAACCTCACGGTGCCTGTGCCTGTGTGTCTTGTGAATCTTTGCTACCTCAATTCCTCAGAGAGGGACACAATTGCAGGCATGGTTGTTGGAGGACAAACATGAGGTTGCTCTTGTTCAGCATGGAATGGAATCCATCTCTTAGGAGAGTGATTTTTTGTGTTTCAAGGTAACAGTGCGGATCTCCGACTGGTAAAAACATTCATAGAGCTGGGCCTCCCTGGAGGAAAACTTGACTTCCTGATGTCAGAGAGGAACCAGGTATCTTATTCATTCACTCCATTCTTATTTCTTCATTTGAAGGCATGTAGTCCTCTTCATCATCTCATAGTGGTCTTCCCCGTGTCACTAACATGATACAATAAATCTGACAGTAGTCGCAGAAGCATGCCATTATCTTTCCCCCCTTTCCCACACTACGTTCTTCTATAAAGGACTGTCATTGATTTTCTTAATCCATTAAAAAATTCCTGTGATTCATTCATTGCCTTGAATTCATGCCATTATGTTAATTGCATTTCTTCCCCCACCCCCACCTTCCTTACAGGAATTTCTTTACTGCTCTTTTTGGGGGCAGCCACAGTGGGGCTGATTTCAGCAGCCCATCTTGGTGGCTGGCATGATATTTTTTCCAGGTTGGCTCTGATGTGGCATTATGAAATAATATGATGTGGCATTATGAAATAATAACCGAAATTGGGTTGGGAATTTCAGAAATCAAGTCCTACTAGTCCCAGCCAAAGGATATCAGAGAATCCCTAGCTTCTCTCCTCAGATTGGAGATAGCAAAGGGATTCTACTTTCCAGGACTTGACTTCTGAGGACAATCCATTTGTCCTCTCTGAATTCCACAGGGATTCCTTTCCCCAGAGGGGGGTGTGGCTTGGGGAAGGGGCTTGAGGAAACCTACAGAGGGTGCTCAACCTGGCTTGGGCTTCAGCACAGGGACAGAGGTTGCCCTCCTGAATTATCTCATGACATTCTGAGGAAGGAGGTAACCATATTGGAAACTGATATTTTTTCCTATTATATTATGAAGAAACAGCATGGGAAGCAGCTGTCCCATTAGCATGACCTCCACCACAACAGTGTGACGGCACCCCATTAACTCAACTCTAAGCAACAAAATACAAACCCGTTCCTAACTGTTGATGACCCGTAGTATTTATTTTGCAATCAAGGGAAATAGAACCAAAAGGAGCATGGGCCATGTTGCCACTGTGTCCTAGCTGAATGTGATAGTGATGAAGGCAACAAAGCACCTTTCAATCCCTGAAAGCAACTCCAAGCCTGGTGGCCTTGCTCGCCTATGACCCAACAAGCTTCCATAATAAGTACCAGGTGCTGTCAGGGTGTCCAGAGCCAGCATCTTCCTCATGAAACCCCTCAGGTCTGGGATTGGGGCAGAGCAGGTGGAAGCAGCCAGCTCCAAAAGGCAAGCTCAGAATCCCTTTCTCGCTCTACAGACGAGCCTGCACGGCCTGGCACAGCTGCCTCTCATGGCCCTTTGCTGGTGAATTCATGTCAGACAACACCTCATTTTCACAAAGAATTATGCCCCGTGGGTATTTTGCACAAAGAAAAGGGATCCCAGGCATTTGCAGACTCGATTTCTTCCTGGCCGGGGCAAGAAGTCCAGTGAGTGCTGGATTCCAGCCTGATCTTTGCTTCCCTAACTGAGGGCCCTAAGAAATCTAGAGCCATGTTCTGAGTATGACGTTTTTTTCAGTATCTCATGTGATTTAGTGGATTCTTTCCATTCAAAGTAGCACATAAGATGCCAGCTTTCAGAGGAAATCATTAATTATCAAGCCAGGCAAAACAAATGGGCACATGTCTATATTTAATTTACAAGCATGTTCAGTGGAAGGCAAAAATGCAAATTGGATATGCTTGTATGTGTGTGTTTTATTTTCTCTTGAAAGAGCTGCAATTAGTGAGATGGATTTTCTCACCCAAAAGCATTAATTACTGGATATGTTTCCCCTGAATCTCCGCCCCAGCATTTGATGATTGTTTCCCTGGCATTTCATTCCTTTCGGATTTAATGTGCAGCCTATTAGATTACAAAGCAGAACAACTCAAAACAAGAAGAATCATTTGCCATCCCAACCCCTGTGGATTTGGCCCTTCCGTTATTGCTTTTTCTGTTTCTCACCAGCAGCAGTAACATGCTGAGTTTCTGAGTTACACAAGTGAATTGTGCTAATTAAGCACCAAACACAATACGGTTTGCTCAGTAGCTTTGGATTGGTTGTTATGTGTGGTGACAGGCCCATGTGATACTGTGCTAGAACTGGAAGCAGCGAGATGGTGGAACCAAAGCCGGAAGTGTTAAAGCCCCCAGAAAATATCAGTTAGCAGGATTGATGATGTTATCCGTCATACCCATTACATTTTTCTATCCTGTCTGAACTTAGCAGCAGTGTTCAAAGTAACTAGGGAGAAATGGATTTTCCCCACAAGAATATATTGCTGTAAGTTGCACTTATGTCTAATGCAAAGTAACTTGGAGAAGCTTGGTTCTGAACAGAACATGTTGACCCAGCTGCTTTACAAAACTGCAAGATTTTATTTATTTATTTAAAATTTCTTCTATACCCTCTGATTATTGTAGATTCTCAAGATGGTTTACATAAAAAGCCAAACATGTAAATATATATTAAAGCCACATTCCTTTTGGATCTACAGCCATAAAATAGCTAAAAATGCCTTAGTGCCCACACTTGCTACAACTAATTAAAATGCATCGATTAAAAAACCGGGAGGAGAAAAAGGTTTTGGCCTGAGGCCAAAACGAATGAAGCATCAGCACTGGGAACACCTCTCTGAGAACCAAGTTCCATAATTGACGTGTTAGTGCAGACAAGACCCACCTCCTCGAAACCATTCAAATCACCTGCCTCAAGGAGAGCTCTTGGAAGAGGACCTCCATGGCAAATCTTCGGGTCTGGGTGGGCTTGTATGGAAGGAAACATTCCCTTAGATAACCAGGCCCTAAACCCTGTAGGGCTTTATATGTCATTGTTAATACCCTAAATCAGGCCCAGACTTCATCTGGTAGTCAGTGTAGCTTACATAGGGCCAGTGTTCTCGTCCATCAGTCCCTGTCTACAGTCTGGCAGCTCTGTTTTGAACCAGTTGCAATCTCCAGAAAGTCTTCAAGGGCAGCCCCACATAGAACGCATTACAATAGTCCAAACAAAGGGGGGGGGGGTTACCAGTGCATTGTTCACTGTTGTTAGGGCCTGTCTCTCTAGCTAAGGATGTAGTTGAAGGACCAGTCTCAGCTAAAGGAAAGTACTCTTTGCCAAAGATGCCACCTGGAATTCCAGGGATAGCTCAGGGTCAAGAAGTACTCCCAAGCTACCCTGTCCCATGTTTGGAATTTGGAGCTACCCAATTCCTCAAGTATCTTTTAACTATTTGGACCTTAACATGAATGAAGTGGCTCTAGATGGTTTACTCCGCTTCCTCCCTTCCATTACCTTAGACAAATGCCACCTACTTCTTTTTGTTTATTGCCTTAAATTGCTGTCCCCCTTTCCCCCATGAATCTACAGAAAATGGATACCTACCACCCAATCAACCTTGTTTTCTCTCCTTTACAGACAGACACTTTTGCAGACTTTGATACAATGACTGACAGATTATTGGATGAAATTATTCAGCACATTCAGTTGTACAATTTGTCAATATCACGAATAAGGTAAGGAAGTGTACAAGTATGTGATGGGAACACAGGAAGCTGCCTCACACCAAGCAGACCCTTGGTCCATTTACTCTAATATTATCAACACTGACTGGTAGCATTTTTTTTTTCTGGGGTTCAGGCAGGAGTTTCCCCTGTGCCTATTTGAATCTGGGTTTGAATCTGGGCACTCCAATCTCTAGCGCTGAGCTATGGACCCTATTTTTTAACTAGGCTAAGAGACTTCACCAGGATTACTTTCTAGCAAAACCCTTCCATGACCCATCTTAATGTGGATTAATCCACTTTGCAAATACAGCAGTTCTCGCTGAGATTGTATTACTTTGTGTCTCTGCAGTTTTATTGGCCACTCCCTTGGGAACGTCATTATTCGTTCAGTATTAACCCGGCCCAGGTTCCGGTATTACCTCAGCAAGCTGCACACCTTCCTGTCCCTCTCTGGGCCTCATCTCGGAACATTGTACAACAGCAGTGCTTTAGTTAGTACAGGTAAGAGCCTCTGGAAAGGGGCTGGGTTCCTTGGTGAAGGACTGTGTGAATACCATGGTGTGAGACTGGATATGATGTGCCATTGAAGGGGTCCTCCCTAATCAATAAACAACCTGTTACTTGTAACATATGAAAGGAATCAAGGATGTGGTGAGGAACTGTAAACCACAGGACACGGTCTGTCCAATAAACACCCCACCAGATTGAATATTATATTTATATAAGAGGCTATAGATTAACCATGACGTCAGTTTAGCTGTCTAATTTACCTAGAAGTTTCCAGTGGTCTCAATCTGAGGATGATAAAAGTAGGCCCAACATATCTTAACAGTGCTTTCTGCTGAACAGCAATGCCACAAGGCCGTGTGAATCCTCTAGATTTCAGCTGATGTGAATACCGAGTTTTCCTAGGATACTCTGACCACCCATTTGCCCAAAGTGTTTGTGAGCTTTCGTGCAGCAACTTATGCTACCGGTATGCATGTCAGTATAATACAGTGAACAAATTAAAATTATTTGTGATTTTCTGAACGCAGATGCAGATATTGCAAAGCCATGCACGTCAGTATAATACAGTGAACAAATTAAAATTATTTGTGATTTTCTGAACGCAGATGCAGATATTACAAAACCAAGCAAACAATTATGGGTACATATTTTGATAATCTAATACAAATGTTACTGTATAACTAAAAGATGACATAAAGTTGGAGTAACAAGATGACATGCAGTACAATTCCATTCTTGGTTACTGGGTTCCTTGCAAGAGGAAAAAATAGTAGAATATGCATGCTATATAGTAACAATAAAAATAGTTTACTTGCTGCATTTACGCAAGTGCTAAGTTGCATTGAACAGAATTGAACATTCTTTGGAGTAAATATGCAGAGGGTTTTAGTATAAGGCAGCAGCATTAAATTCATGCGTCGGAGTCAATGTGTGGAATTGCACTGCACTTCTGACAAGTTCATCTAACTTTGAAAAACATTCAGAACATTGGCAATCTGTTCCTAAAAGTGCTTTACCCATGAATACGATAGATGGAAATTATAAACTGATGTTCAACTCCATTTTCATCACATGTTTGCCTTTGGAAATCAACCTGTACCGATTGTCCTTCTAGGCTTGTGGCTCATGCAGAAGCTCAAAAAATCTGGGTCACTTTTGCAGCTGACATTCAGGGACAATGCAGATCTGCGAAAGTGTTTCCTTTACCAGCTCAGCCAAAAAACAGGTGGGTTAAAAATGGATTCAACTCAAAACCCTGATCCTAGCAAGCAGCATTAAAAACAGATAGAACTGAAAATGATTTCCTTGTGGACTACTACTCATTTGGAGCTCTTTCCTAAGGTTGACACTTAAGAAAAAGTGCAGGTCTGAAGATACACTGCCAGGGAAGGTGATCATGCTGGGGAAAGGCAGAACAGACCAGATATGAGGTGGATTAACTCCATAAAGGAAGACACAACTTTGCTTTGTGTATAATGCTGCTCAGTAGAGTTGTCTTTCTACACAGAATCTGACTTTGGTAAGATGCCTCCCACTTCCCCTGAGACCAATTGGCCAGCTTAGGAGATGCAGGGCAGACCTCCTGAAACTCACAGCTCTGTCCTCCTGAGGACCTGACTGCCCCATCATATATCTGATGCCCGAGGCATCAGCCTCCCCCGCATAATGACAGAGCCACCGGCCCTGACTGCAACTCACACCAATTCCTAATGTTACTCACATATCAAAGCTGGCAGACACCTACTACATGGCCCGACAACTGCATAGCATAATGAGACATGAGAAAATAACTATGTCACATCCTGGAGAGATGGGTAATGAGACATGGCACCGTCCTTTCTGGCTGCCACTCTGAGTGGGATGGATAGCATGAATCAACAGGGGTAAGGACCTCTGTGTTTGCTTTCCACCCACTCTCCAATTGAGAAAAATCTTGAGTAATTTCATATGTTACAATAAAGCAGCAGCATCAACAGGCACATTCTGGGAAACCTGCCAAATTGACACATCAGGGCCAAACTTAACATTTGGGCAAACACACCCACAGCATCTGTGTGTGAACCTCCCCCTCTCTCTGTATCTTCATGTAATTGCATGCAACCCAGATTCTTGTACTCTGGAAAAGAAAAGGGTGTTAAAACTTCCTCCATCCATTTTTCCCCTTGGAAACCTTCCTCTCATTGCTGAGGGGAGTGGTTAAAGGAAGACAAGAGGTTTCCATTAGAGTTACTTTATCAACTTTATTGATTTATGTTGTCTTTTCTACTAGAGGACTCCCTGCCCCACCTTTATTTAAACTCCCATGGGTGTAGACTTGAAGAAAAATATGGAATGGAAGGTTTATTCCTCTCCATTCTGGCATGCCACAATTCCAGTCCAAACTGGGACTGTTCAGACCTGCACTAAAGCAAAGAAATTTACCACACAGAGTTTCATGATGTGTGATTCTCTATATATAATCAAGCTGACTCCTTGTCTACTCTGTATGCAGAATTGAGATTTTGGGAGTAATATTAATTTAGAGTACCCTCACCTAGATAAGCCCCCTCTCCACAATGGGTGGAAAAACATCCTGGCAGGCAATTTTTACCAGCACCATAGCAGGAAATGTAGCTATTAAGTTGCTTCCCTCCACCATCAATCTTCTACTTTTCAGTGCTGGCCATCCCCAACCTTGTGCCTTTCAGACATGTTTGGACTACAACATCCAGGATTCCCAGTCAATGGTCCTGCTGGGAATTCTGGGAGCTGTGGTCCAAATTCCTCTGAGGAGGTAGGGCTGATTTACAGCACTTGATTAAAATAGGATTAAATCAAATGTATATTAAAGTCAACCATTAAAGTACTGATTAAATAAAAAGGTTTTGGTCTGCTGCATAAAGAATAATGAATCAGTGCCAGGCAAACCATTCTGGTGGGGGGGGGCACATTCCACAAACAAGGTGCCACCACTGAGAAAGCCCTTCTCCTAGTAACCTAGTAAATTGGCAATTATCATTGAAAGGCCCTGAACATCAGTGCCTGAGATCTCACAGATAGGAAGACATTCCAGAGGACGAGCACCAGCACAGATGAAGCTCTGTTCCAGCCAAATGGGACTCTGTAGTACGTGGCATGGACAACAAGGCCATCTTCATGATCTTAGTAGTCTACCGATCTATCTAGGGGTATGCCACAGTTCAGGTAACCGGCTCTGAAGCTCACAGTAGGTAGATGTCTCCCCACTGCCTCTACAGGACCCTCATCTAATACCTGCGTTGAATTTGTTTCCTTTTTAAATAGGTCTTCAGTATTTCAAAAATGTTGTTCTCGTGGCCTCACCCCAAGACCGTTATGTACCATTTCATTCCGCAAGAATAGAGATGTGTAAATCTGCACTGAAAGACAGGCATACAGGTAAGGCTGTTCCTGAGCTTGGGGAGTTACTAATTTCTTTTTTTAAAAGTGCATGGTTTTAGTTCGGATTTCTAGAATGCTTTCTCTGAGAAGGCAGGTAGCTAATTGATACAAAATGAAAAGGGACAGTTCCTTGTCTCAGAGTCCTTGATTACAGGACATTGAGAGATGGAGGAGAGATAAAGCCAGAAAAACAGAATCCCTTTTTGATTTTGCCTGGGTAGACACAGCTCTCAGCAAGTCTGTCTTGCTCTTAACCTCCTTTGGGTGAAAACATTTAGAGGAGAGGACGAAGGAAAACCATTCAACATGCAGTTTCAGCCTGAATTACTGAAAATCTGAAATAGAACTTTGGACATTCCTTAGAAGGTCACCCCCTTCTAAACATTCAGAGTTGTTCTTGGCCCACTCTGTTCTGCTTCTGGTACAAGTTCCTTCATCCTTGCACTCAAGAGCTATAGGTCAAGACACTTTCTGTAGACCAGCAAAGAGAGAAGCAGGGAAAAATGTGACGTAGGCTATTGTGGGTTACCTCCATGATGAAAACAATTTTAGAGATGGAGGCCATGGAATTTACCTTTGCATGCCTTCTTGAATAGGAAAGAGCTAATCTCTTTTTGGTTGCCAGTAGATAATATGCCATTTGCACTCAGCCCATGTAGAAATGTCTCCAAGTTAACCAAAGGATAATACTAATGAAGTTGCCCATGATCTACTTCTGTTGCCTCAGTAGAAGCTACAGCAGATAGTTGCCCGGTGTTCACTTGGGAATGGCCAGGTCTCATCTCAAGATGGCCTTGAATGACAAATAGTCCGGTTATATGGAGGAGGAGACTCTCAATGGCTACTAATTCTGGTGGATGTATGCCACCTCCAGTAACAGAGACAGTATGCTGGGGAACATGGGCAGGAGGGTGCTTTGCTGTCCTGTCTTGCTTGTGGGTTTCCTGTGGGTAGCTGGTTGGTCCTGTGTGAACCGAACGCTGAACCAGAAGGATGTTTGGTCTGATCCAGCAGATCTTTGCTGATATCCTTATAACAATTATAACAATTCCACTGGCTCATTGCAATCCCTCTTGACTAGAAAGGTTTTTCTAGTGATTTGCTTTTCCAGTCTTGGTATCTCTGATTATTTCACCAGATATTAGGGATAACTGGGAAGAGACTGGCAAAGTTTTGGTATTGTGATTGCAATAAGATCCTGTATGACCTCTGAGCCAGATCTGCCCAGGGACCACTGGGACTCCATCTCCTTCCCCCTAATACCGATGTTTTAGTGGTTTTCCAGCTTTTGTAGAGCCCCCCGCACTGGTGAAAGAGTGAGCTCCTCGCAGGAGGAGGTGTAAGCTCACATAGGCTGGTGTTTTTCAGAATGCCCATATGCCTTTGATGGCATCTGCCATGTGAGTTGGAAGAGCTCTTCCAAAACGAACTTGGTCATCGGGCTGAAAGGGGTTCAGCACCTGAGAATATGTGATGTGCTTTGGCTACTACATAAACAGGGTTCTGGTGGTGGTTCTACCTCCATGTTACTCTGGAAGATGCCATGCCTAAAGAGGATGGTGCAGTCATCGTATTCCTTTTATTTCCCAAGGTCCTGTGTATGCTGAGATGATCAACAACCTCCTCCGTCCAGTCGTAGGAGCAAAGGACTGCACTTTAATCCGCCATGATGTGTTCCACGCCTTGCCAAACACAGCCAACACACTGATCGGAAGGGCTGCACACATAGCGGTACTGGATTCTGAGCTATTCCTGGAGAAATTTTTCCTTGTGGCTGGACTCAACTATTTCAAATAGGACCATGGACCTCAGAGGAAGAAAGCAAGCCGTGCCTACCAGGCATCGGGGTTTCAGCACTGAGAAAGTGCTGCATTCTAGGAATAAACAGTGTATACCAATGGCAAAATGGGACAGATGCATGACACTCACAGAGAGAGATCCATACCCTACTTGTTTGGGGGGAAGTATCAAGTGCTTTGGCTATAAGGCATTCAAAGGGCCAACTATTGGTGCTTTTAGAAAGATGTGAACATCCACATGTTACTTTTTTGTGCTTTTCTGTTTGTTCATCTACCTTTTCAAATTGGTCTTGAGATGCTGAAGGTGTACTTACCTGTCTGCCTCTGTATATGTCACTGAACCAACATCTCATCTTTATTTCCCCTCTGTCCTTTAAAATCCAGCTAGCTATGAGTTGCCTTATTTGATTGAACACTGATTTATTTAATAGAAATAGTGTTTCTTTTTGTAGATTTAGGGGGTGTTTTGTGATTAGCACAGAAGAAAGAAATGAACATGAAACTCAGGTTAAATTCTCCTTTGAGGTGAATCAGAAATTGTGGAGGGGGGAGAGAGAATTCGGATGGGGAATTTGTGAATTTACAAGTCTTTGGGAATCATAATCTGAAGAAGAAAAGCTGGTTATTTTAAGAGGAACCCACCCACTCCCTTTGTAGTGGGGAAATCACATCATCTCTGTAATTTCTAGCTGCCAGTGTCAAACTCATGGGGCAGGGACAGATAGCACTGGTTCTCAGTGGGGTGGGCAAGCACCATGCCTATGACTGACCATGTGAGTGAGGAAGATTTGAAGGCACTAGGACACATTCTGGCAACAGAGGTTGGGTTCTGAGCTCAGCAAGGACTGTAGGGTCCCCTGACTTGGTCCTTCGTAGGTTAAGGCACAGGCAAAGAGGTCTTTAGCAGCTTCATTCCTAGTGGAAGCTGTAGAAACATCTATGGGCTCCACTTGCAACTGGGACAAAGCCTTCAGAAGCTCTTCCTCCTCCTAGTATAAGTAGCAGCATTGTACCTCCTTATGCTCACCGGAGGAGCTAAAGGGTCAGCTGTTGCTGCTCGGACTGGAGGGGCAGTGACTAAAAGAGCCCTCTGCCCACAATGGACAGGAATGGCTGTGTTGCCTACCAAAGACACAGTTCTGTGTGGGCAAAAGATTGGACTCTCCCAGGCACTCAGATGTGCTCACGTGCCTCTCTTTGCCCATCCTTTTGACAGGATGATTGCAGGGAAGAAAGCAGCAGGGAGAGAAGAAGGGAGTTTTGGATAGCAGGTTAAAGGGGCTCTGTGGATTGCTTGGCTGGACCTGGAGATATCCACTCTCAAAAAGATTTACTAAAGGTGCACTGGTTTCAAGTCCTGGCAGGTTCTAGTCCTTGCTGTGCCATGAGAACAGCAGCTGAGATGGCAGCCTTGAATGACCATTGTGCATGCCTTGTAGGACACGCCAACGTTCTCTTCCCAGAGGTCTTACTGACCCACCAGGCCAATCAAGACACAGTGGTTGTTTGCACAGGCTTGTCATCTCCGTTCATGGAATGTTTAGGCCAGTCTCAGTGTGTATTGCATCCTATCAGACATCATCAGCAATGGTAGCTCAGCATCTCTTTATTGAAGTGCATAAGCTTCCATGTTCCATCCCTAACAACTGCCAGGTGCTGAAGAACATCCCTGCTTGAGTTTCTGGAGATCTTTTACAAGTTAAAGTAGAATAGTTGGATAGCTTTATCAAATATCCTGACCCCGTATAAAGCAACTTCTTATAAAAAAAGCTTTTGCAAAACTTCCCTGAGCAATTTGGACATATTGAACAAATTTGGTGCATGGTTTGACTTGGGTCCAGCTCCTGACTCAGGGAATCTTTGATGAACGGGTGGAATTGCATGGGGCCTTTGCTCACTTGGGATGGTATGGCTGCATTTTTTTTAATTTCGATTTATTGTCAAGTGGACCTTTGTTTCTTAAAATCCGCAATGTACATATCAAGAGTGTGCACTTGTTAATATCTATTGTGTGCACAAAAATGTTGCGTTTCATCAAATTATAGCTTTTGATATATTACAGCTCTAGAAGGTGGGGTATTTAGATTACTTTGCAAAGAAAAAAATAATATGGAGAAAATGGTAATATGAAAAAGAATATATTTTTCCCTGGTGCTGATGGCTGGGTATTTCAATATGGGCAAAAATAAATTTAGATACAATAAAAGCTTATTTATTGCAGAAGATGATATAAAGAAAAAGATTGAACAAAGGTTGGTCAACACAAAATTTGGATATCAGTTGAATCAATAAAAGGATTCAACATCTCCAAATCTATTGGAAAATTATTTGCTTCATTTTATTTTACCACGTTGACCATCTTGTACTGTCATTGGAATGCTCGGGACATTAAAAATGAGGCAATATCAGAAGCAGAAAAGCAAAGATCTTTATAGCTTGAATCCTTGGGGAATTAGTGCTTTGTATGTATAGAAATGAAGCACTCATCTCATTAACTAAGACTATGCAGATATTGTGAAAATTCATACAAGGTTTTCTGCCATACTGAAGAGAATGGAGAATCCCTTCTTTGCCCAAAACTTTGTGTGTGGATTACAGCTCTACACAGTTTTGGGCCACCATTGCCACCTTTCCTCCTTAGTAGTTTTCTTTATCAAATCCCAATGTATATCTTTTCAATGCATAGCATAAATGGAAGAATGTGCAGTTTGTGTGTGAGTTGAATTTTGTAATGGCCTGGCTTAAAATAGATGGAAGTCAATGGAATCAGTTCTAGGGATGCAAAATGAACTTTAGATCAACTCATGTCAGTCTTGTGTAACTCTTGCTGCTGCCAAGAGGCACAGCTTGGTATCTGCTGCACTCCAGTTATGTCTTTGCTAGAAGTTGCAGATACCAGTTTAGTCGAATTAAGGATTGGTTGCTCCACTGACTGAGAAAACCCATGGACTGTCTGAGTACTCTATCTAGTATTACCACCAGCTGGATCCAGTATTTATGAAAGTCTTCAGCATTTGGAACATGGAATTTCCTCTTTCCCACCAAGCAAATCCACGGATCATGGATCAGTGTGTGATCTGAATCTAGTACCTTCAGCCAAATCCAGAATATGTGGACATTTTCGGTGGATCAATTGTGGAACTCTTGTTCTTTTTATATCAATTGTTGTAGATTCCATCTTCAAAACTGCTGCCACCATTGTGTCAAAGTTATGGGCAATAATAACCTTGTTGGCTGAAGATTTGAAGCTATCAGATCTCTCTCCCTCTCCCCCTCCCCCTCCCCCTCCCTCTCTTTTAAATTGGGATGCTGGCTTTGTAAAGACCTTAAGTATTGTATGTCATACAAAAAAGTATAGATAATGTTTACGCTCTTACACTTGTACAAAAATCTTGGAAGATAATTGTCTTGTACAGAACAACATCAAAAGTGTTGAAACATCACTAACATTTGGCCTCTTTTGAAAAGGCTTTAAAGTTGTCTCTTTCTATGGAAATATACAAATATACATATATAGATATATAGAAAAATAAACAAAACTTGTTAATCGCTGTTCAACTCAAATGCAAAAAAAAAAAATGTATCTACATGGCTGGATGTGTGACATCTTTGTCAAAGTTCTATTTTGTTCTGTCTTTTTCTCTCTTCCTCTTTCTTTTTTTACAGACTGTCTCTATTACTAGTTCGTAAAGTTCCAAATGGATATTTCTGACAGTTGTCTTGAGCTTACAATTCAACTGAGTACATGTGATGTGTGTAAACTTTTATATCTACTGTTTGGGAAACATATATACCAGAGAACCCTCGTTTTGTGAATGTGGGTCAGCACGTGATATTGTTGCTTGCTAGAAGGGGATCTGCACTTGCCTAAATACCAGACCTGGAGAAATGAACTGGGGATACAAGTAGCAGAGTCCATACTGCTGATCCCACCAATATCATTCTTCAGTTGGCCATGCTGGCTTGAGGAATGGCCATTTAATGTTTCCAAGGCAACCAAAAATAAGTGGAAAGACTTGTGGGGCAGGAATTGGGGTAGGTCATCAGAGCTTGCCTAAGGGTGCTCCACCAACTTTTCCCTTCAAGAAAGTGATCTTCCTGTTTCTTCTGGGACTCACCCATTCAGGCCCTAAATTATCATACCACAGGCAGTGTTGGCCATTTGTGGAGCAGAACAAATGGTGGTTCCACTATAGGATAGGCAGTATTGGATTCTGCTCCGTGTGCCTGTCCATAATGCGATCCAGTGGATGAGAGCTCCTATCAACACTGGAAGCATGGGTGAGATGCCCCTTATGATGACTGCTCTGATATAGATAGGAATGTGTGCTCTTACCTACTACCTGGAACACATTTTTGTGGTTATAAAATCCATATATTACTAGTTCTACTCAACACCTCACTGACTGCAACTCTTCTAGATTACAAAGTTCATAAGTACATTTGTCCTCTTTGCACAGCATCAGCCTATGGCCCAATGGGAAGCAGCAGCAGCTGCCTCTGAGTTCACCCCTATCAGAAGATGATAATATGTGTCCCTTTTCTTTCATTAAGTCAAATTTCATATTAAATCCATGGTGTTTTGTTTGACAAATGGCCTTCCTGACAAATGTAGACCTCTCTGTGGAACCTAGTCAATGCAACACAGTGGGATAATTGGAGTAGGCTTAGAGAAAAGGGCTTTTTTAATTTTTAAAAAGGACTACTATAGAATTTCAAGGAGTGGGAGTAATTGGTCCCTTATCTGACTGAGATTATGAATGCAAAGCTTAGAATGCCACTGTGAAACTTTCATGCCTATTATTTGTTACAGTGATGATGATGAAACTTATATAAAAGAGGATGGTGATCATAATTACGAAGATACTAATGACAGTATTAATAATAAGGAACAGTCATCAGTGCCAATATGATTCTACTATTTTTCTACATATGCTTTTTGGTGACAATTTGTGTGGCTTGTGTAAGTTGTAAAAGAAATGTCAATAAAAATTGTTT